AGAGATCGAGGAGGAGCGCCCGTACCTCACGATCGCGCCCTTCCCGCGCGACGGCCTCTCGTCCATGGGCAACTTCTACCCGGAGAAGGAGCGGCGCAGACGCCGCGCGAAAGCACTCGCACAAATGCGATTTGCCCGACAGATCGTCAAGCACCGACTGGCACATGGGCCACAATGTTCTGCTGGAGAACCCTATGTGCTCTCAAGTGTGGAACCTCGTCAAGGACGAGCTCCCACTGGAGTTGATATGGACTCGGTGCGATCAATGTGCTTTCGATCTACGAGATGATCGTGGAAATGTGCTTCAAAAGCCAACGAGGTTTGTGACGGCGGCAGTGGCATTGGCATATGCACTGGAGGTTCGGTGTACAGGAGATCACGGGCATGGTGAAGTTCAAGGCCGAGGCGGCAAGTCTCGTGATTATGCGGTCTGGACCCTGGACATGGCAGACAGGATCCTCGAGGGCACGAAGCAGCAGTACGAGTTGGAGAAGCTTCTGGGCGGCGACATCACCATGGGAATTCCAAACGCCACTGACGCATGCCCCGCTACAGGCTTCACGTCAAGCTCAGGCCTCATCATGGGCTCAGACGCGGAGACCTACCAACAATGGCAGCAAGTACCAGCAGCACTCAAGGCGGCGATCAAGAAGTTACATGCTCAGTTTTCACATGCACTACGAGGCGAAGATCTGGCCCGACACATTCAAGCAGGCGGTGGATCACCGGCGGCGGCTTCGGCGGCGAAGCTATTCAAGAGCGAGCTGTGCGACTCTCAGCAGCGACCGCCAGCGCATCCAATCGCGCGCTTACCGAAGTGGACCAAGTTTAACCAATGCCTTGGTATGGACATCGCCTGCGTGCCCGACCTGAACGGCAACGTGCACGCCTACTCGCTGATGCTGGACCTGGCTAGAAACGGCTTCCACATCGCAGAATGCTTACGAAAATCAACATGTGATTTCGTTGTTGCCCCCCCCCCCCAAAAAAAAAAAAACACCGAGGTCTGACTCGGGGCCCTCGACTGCGGCCCCCAAGCGCCCCTGGCCCCGCGGCCTTCCCTCCGCGCCGAGACCCCCCGGCTTCGCAGTGCTCAGCGAGGGCGAGAGGTGACGCGGAGAGCGGGCCACGGCTGCGCGAGAACAGTCGCCATCACTCGCGCACTCGGGGCGTCGAAGTAATGCTTGAAGGGCGGCTCGCGGGGGCAGTTGGCCGTCTTTCCATCGGGGCATCTCATTTTCCTTTCGGCTCCTGCTCGCTCTCAAGTTCCTCCTTCATTTCGGCGCCCCCATCCCGATCGGCATTGCCAACCAATGCATCCCCCGCCTTGGTCGGCGTGATATCCGTCTCGAACTGGTCCTTAATTCCTCGGTCCGTCGGCTGAGCCGCGCCCCATCTCGATTCCGCAAGCTTTGCCCCGGCCTTCGCGCCCGACGGGCTCGCGCCCCGCCCGCCTCGATAGACCTTCGCCTTCGTCACCGGGGCCCCAGAAGCAGGACAGGCAGTTGCGCGCGCGCCTTAGTGGGTCGGGCCTACAAGAGTTTCACTCACGCGCGGGAAGCCTCGAGCCTCCGCCCACTCTATCGCATCTGCTGAAATAACCCAAGTCGGTAGCCCACGGTTCAAGTCCCACCTCGGAAAATCAAGGAACCGTGCCAGGCCTGCAGGCGCAACCGTTCCCACTTGTGATTTCCCATATGGACGGAGCACCAAGGGCTCGAGATTGTTCTTGACCCAGAGGCGCACTCCAGCATAATGCGGCTTGTTCGTCTCCTCCCCTTCCTCCTCCCCCTCTTCCTCATCCTCCTCTTTCTTTGAAATTCACCTCGGTTGCGCGGTGGAGTTCTGCTGCGCGATGAAAGCGCCGAGCGGCGGGGCCAAGGCTTTGGGCGTAGCCTCCACTGCCGCTGCGGTCGCAGGCATGGTCTCGGGCGCCTCCGCCACCTTGGCGTAAAACACCTTTTCCGCGTAGTCCCCGACCACCGCGGCACGGAAGCCGATCATCTTGAGCTTGCCCGTCAAGACTGGCACGTCGTCTGTCATCCCTGGTGCCAGCGTCGTCTGCTCCGGCGCCTTGTCGCCGCTGTAGTCGGGCTTCGCCTTCATCGTGATAGGGGCCCTTCTGGCCCTCCACAAGCACCGCCTCCGAGGCTTCGCTGTCCAAGCCAACCGTCGTGATGTTGTCCCTGTTGCTGGGGGCCTTGCGCACGCGAGTGGTCTGGTCGTACTCCGCCTCCGTCGTCGTCAGCACCACGATGGGTTTCTGGTCAATCTCCCTTTCATGGATATGCTGGAACATATCCGCAGTGGTCACAATGGCCTGCCCCCGCGGTTCACGCAAAAGTCGATACTTTGTGTTGGCACCTGCTCCACCCCCTACAACACCAGCCCATGTCGCTGGCGTTGCGGGGGCCCTCGGCGATGCCACAAACGTCGCACACGACTCCTTCAAAATCTGCACCACCTGTGGGGTCGTGACGGGTTTGGCCTGACTCCGTCCCTTTCCCTCGTCAACAAAAATCATCAGCGCCCTGAACCTCTGCACGATCGGTCGTCCGATGTACGCATTGGCCCTCCTTTGGGTCGCCATCGCTTTCTTCTGGGGTTTGCTGGACCGCTACTGCTGCTCGCTTGCTCCTGGATAGCACTGAGCGGCTTCGCAAGGATGTCAAGCTGCGTCTGGAAGCTGGTATCCTGGGCCCGGCGACGTGTCGTTCGGCTCCCTCCATGACCTCCTCCATAGTGGCTCGTACTCCTTGGAGTACAGTCGCACTCGATTGGACAGGACACGCGAGAGGACACAAGGCCCTTCCGAGGGCCACTTTGCCACAGGAATGTAGGAAGTATGGGTCGCGAGACACAGGACACAAAAGTACCCTTAGTTTGGCAGGGTCAACCTACAAATTTGGGCCGACTGTACTCGCCCCTGCTCTGGTACATCTGAAAGGGCTTGCGGCTCGAAGTGTCGATGGAAAACTCACACTCCGAGAACTTCGCGCAAAGCTGCTGCTACAAACCGTAGTATACATTGGGCAGAGCTTCCCAAAAAAAACCTTGACAAAGTCTGCTGTCACATCCCTTCCTTCCCCAGGGTCAACGTCGTAGCAGCACCCTTCGGTCGTCCCCCCCCCCCCAAAAAAAAACACGTCGCCCACGAGAGTGGCACCGTTCAACTCGACCTCGTCGAAGCTCACGGAAGTGAAGAAGCCCTGGCAATGCCCACCACCACCAGCACCTCCGTGTTCGCCGCGCCGCCTGCACACGACAAGCATGACGCCCGCCATCACCAAGCCCACGATGTGGGCAAGGGGGTCCTCCTGGATGACTTGATCTTGCAGACTTCGAACCCTCGTCCCGGTCGTCCACCGACCGCCCAAACTCCTTTCAGAGGTGAGCGTGCGCGGTGATGCACGAAATGGTGGCCTCACGGTTTCTGTCCGAAAAGCCTTCAGCAACGAACGCTGAGTCCGTGAAAGCTCTGATTGGCGGAGTCGCGAAGCATCGAACATGAACGAGAGCTAAGAGCTCGGCAGCGTTAATGCACTGCAGAGGGTCCAGCACTGGACCTCGTCGTCGTCCGCCTCCTCTTCCTCCTCCTCCTCCTCTCTCATCCCTGCTCCTCATCAACAGCTCCTCCCCGTCGCACCCCCAAACGTGTCGGTAGGATGGAACAGGCGTTTCGGTTAAGCCCCCACGGTTTATGATCCAATGAGCTTGAAGATCGCGTCAGTTGCAAGGACGGACGGGGGTCGTTTTCGAAAGGAAGCTCTCGTCTTATCGTCAAGCGTGTTCGTCGTACAAGTTTAACTGTGACAGCGTTGGAGAAGGGGTCTCGCCTTCCTGCCACGCACAATCGTTCAAAACGTGCGCAACGGCTCCACGGATAGAGGTCGGCTCCTTGTCAAAATGGGCTATCGTCTAAGCGCCACGCGCTGTGCTCATAAAATCTTGCAACAACTGGAAAGGGGTATGGACGGTTCATTGTCTCAAAATGTGGTATTCGTATGAGGGTTCTCGGAATTGGAAAACAGAAACGTGAACAGATCGTATGTAACAGCTGCACGGGTGGCCTACTTTTCGACATGGGGCTACCACGTGAGACTTCCACAAGGTTCGTGACCAGAAGTGCACAGATAGGGGCGACACTTTTTCACAACAATGACTTCGCTGGACACCTATTTTCGCATCTCATTTTCCTCGCTAGAAAGATGCAGGGAAGTTCCAGCTCACCACAAGGCTCCCGCCCGAACTGAAGGCCGAGAAGGTGCTGTCGTCTCAAGGGAGAGCGGCTTGTAGTCAAGAGGAAGGCTTGCAGGGACTTCTGCGAAGGGGAATTGGGACGGGAGAGTGCGTTGCAGCATGGTTGATGCATCTTGGGTTCATTATGGTCTTCCTCCCAGTTCAACTCCATGTCATTGCTCTTCTCTCCCAACCCCTCCCTGCTCCTTCTCCTCCTCCTCCTCCTCCTCCTCCTCTTCCTCCATTTCCAAGCATTCCCCCGCATCCTCTGGTTCCTTCTCCCTCATCCTCCACCTCTCCCACACTCACGTCCTCCTCATCGTCAGAATCATCATGTATGATCCTCCTCGCATGTTGCCTCCTCCTCCCCTGAATCCTCCTCGTTGTCGTCGTCGTCGTCATCATCATCATCATCACCACCACCACCACCATCATCATCATCATCATCATCAGCATCAGCATCAGCATCATCATCGTCATCGTCATCATCATCATCATCATCATCATCATCATCATCATCATCATCATCATCATCATCATCAACATCAACATCAACATCAACATCAACATCATCATCCTCTGTCCTCCACCACCTCCTTCTACTGATCGTACTGATCGAAATCCTACTCAACCCTCCGAGGCCGAATGTTTTGATGCCCAGGTCACCCATGAAATGTTCTGAAAAAACATACGGCAAGTTCGTGTCGTGCCGACCCCGGCGTTCCGTCTGGCCAGGGGAGGCGGGCGCGCCATCTGCCGGCCTGGGGCTTCGGCAGCACACCCGGTGCTGGCAGCGGCTGTCCAGGAGGGCAGCGCCTCCGATGATGCTGTCGCCGCCGCTCTCGCCATCGCTCGGACGGTGGGCGAATCTGACCACTGTCGGACTCTCCAAGGGGACTCCTAGATTGTTTTGTACCGTGCGATTTCGGGAGGAGGAGGAGGAGGAGGAGGATAGCTGCGGGGAATGAAAACGCGACGAGAGCCGACACTAGTGCAGAGATGAAAAGACCTGCAATATCCCTGGGCTCGGGCAGTGGAGGAATGAGGAAGGAGGGGGGACAGAAGCAAAGGAGGAGGGAGCGGCGAGGGAACCCCAAGCACAGGAGCAACACTTAAGCCAACCTGCGATAGGCGAGCCGTCGCGCGCATCCGAGCCCTAGGGGAAGCTGCTGCACACGCAAAGATATCAATCGGAGTCCAAGCTCCGTGAATGAACACGTGAACCGTAAATCCCGACGAAGACCGCAGAGAACGAAGAAAAGAAGAGGATCAATGCTCCCGGATCATGCCCAAAGCACTGCCGTCAGTGCTCGTGGATGCGCCCGAGGAGGATGGGGAACTCCTGGATGTGCCGTGCGAACATGCGGTGATCCAGGAAAGTGGTGCCTGACGATCAAGGAGAATGCAGGGTGTTCCGAATCGGGCGTTGTTGTTGCCTTGTCTCGGGGCCCAGGACCATCACGGGATGGTTCCAGCTCGGAAAATGCAACAGAAAGATGGGGTCTAGGGTTCTGGCAGTGATTGTTCGGGGCGTCGCAGGGGTGTCGCAGCGTCGGCTCTCGGGGCCCTGACCGTGTGGCAGCCGCCCCAAACCCAGCAAGCTGGCCTCTATACCGAAGGTCCAGCGATTGCTCTGGATTTCTCCGGAAACGCTGTCCTGACTGCAACAGCAGGCGCGGCGTCTTTCAACGGGCCTTCACCCTAACTGCTCTTTCGATCTCCCCGGACGTTAGCTCCAAATGGAGCCGCTGCAGTGGAGGAAATTCACGCTGACCACAAGAGATGGTCGGCCAAAGGGGTCCACCCCGACCACAAAAGAGAGTCGGCCGATATGCTCTTCGAACTACTGTTCGCGACGATGTTCATCGACCGGCTTGAGCTTCCTTGAAGGGGTTTCCTTGAGGGAATTGGGTGTTTCAGCTCGGTTTGGTTCTCATCACCACTCACTCAGCACCACCGCCGTCGTCCTCATCATCCTAATCATCACCATCATCATTGCCCTCCCGAAGCTTCAAAAAGGGCGTGGGGGCCTTGGAATACGCATTCCCGGGAAACTTCGGAGTGGATTCTTGGAGGCTGCAGCGAGGTTTCATGAGGACTTGGAGAGGCGTTCGGGAACGACTGCCAGGGACAAAAGACTTGGGAACGTCCGGGATTTGAGCGAAGCTTCATTGACTCTGGCTGGGGGCATTACCTGAGAAACGTGTCCGGGGAGTCCTCCCTGCAGACATGGGAAAATCTCCTACGTTTTGAAAGGCAATCCCTCGGAGGCTCTTTGGAAAAAAGGCTGCATGATAGGGGGCCTCAATGCCTGGAAAAGCTTCCTCTGAAAATGGCATGGAATTTGCCCGCCGGAAAACTTTCACAACTGGAGAAACTACCTGACTGAAGCTTCCTTGGGGAGGCAACCCCTAATTGTTGGGAGAAACATTGGGTCAAATCGCACACCTGGTGCGGGAGGCTCCCCCCGCGATCGGCGCCGGAAAAATCTTCACAATATGCAACGTCGTTGGTTTTCTGCCCATGTGGAATTCACTATAGTAGCGGTGTGGAACGCAGAGAGACACGATGTGCAGATAGACGGGCCCGTGCTGAGAGAGAAAAAGAGAGAGAAAAAGAGAGAGAGAGAGAGAAAGAGAAACAAAAAAAGAAAAGGCGCGTTCGCTTTCCTTTTCAAGGTTCGTGAGCGCCCGCTGCCGGCGCGCCGCACAGCACAAGGGCCCTGGGATCCGAGACGGCCGCGGGGCGGGTCGGTGAGAGAGAGGCGCAGGAGGAAGGAAGGCTGACATATACATAACAATCACAGGTCCTACCTTTTGTTTTCGGCCGGATGCCCAGACGAAGCCTCGGCGCACCCCAAAACTTCCTATGTTTGGCCGTAGCCTTCGATCCTCGTTTAGCTCGTCTCCAAAGTCGCCCCCAAATCATCCGTGCCACACGGCCGCTCCAGCCGCGCGAACACAGAGATCTGTGGAGAAACTCATTCGGAAAAATCTTCCCAAGGCTTGCCACTCATCTCACCATGGTCAGACCCAGATTCGCCCGCAGACTCACCCATCCCAGCAATGAAACTCGGCGGCTTCGACTTGGGCAGCCAGTAGGGTGTACCCGCGCGCTCCAGGTAGCGGACAGCGGCACTGAGATCGATGGCCCACTGCAGAAGCCACCGCCCACCCCTTGGCACCGGTGCCGGGCGAGAGGATCCGATGCCAGACAGCTCCAGATCGGCATCTTCGATCGGGTCGCCCGAGTATGCGTGCACACTCGGAAAAGCATGCGGGTGTACCTTCGCTGGAAGGTACATCCTGACAGTCCGACTACATAGCTCGAACCATCCGAAAACAGTTTCACGCATCTGGGTCCAATCGCAAATCTCTCTCATCGTCGCAGCGTGGATCCAGAGCTTCGCGACGCATGCAGCCTTCATTTTGGCACCATTGCCTATGATCGCGTTGCTTTGGATAGTGAGGACGGCACCCCCGATCAACCTGCATCTCGAAACTTTAGGAAGTAGAGGTTCATCTCAGGACCGACGTCAAAGGACATGTGGGCCATGTGTTGAGCACAGCTACCCAAGCGATGCTCGCCCTCGCAGTAGACACCAAACACTTCGCCAAGGCTGGAAGGTCCTGGCTCGAGAACATGCACGCCGCGACTGTTAACCATAATCGCAAGAACTGCCAAACTTGCGCTGAAAAGAGCTGTCTTGAAGTCGGAGCGAACGCGTTTCACAAACGTTTGCCTTAGGACCATCCGGCGGCGCGTTTCAAGCCGGGGAGCGCCACCCCCCCCCAGCACTCGGCGCCGTCGATCAAAACAAGGGGGACTTCCCTCCCCCCCAAGCCCCCCCTTTCCCGAACCCCCCCCCCCTCGGCGCCGGCGCCGGCGCCGGCGCTGGCGGCCGCCAGCAGCGCCCACGGCGGGGACGCAGCGACGATGACCAGAGGCAGCTCAAGGGAGGGATCGGGGGGTCCAACCCCCCCCCCCCTCGCGCCGGCGCCGGCGCTGGCGCCGGCCAGCAGCGCCAGCGCTGGCGCCGGCGACGGCGGGGACGCAGCGACGAATACCACCATTACCACCACCATCACCACTACAATCTCCACCACCACACCCGTCACAACCACTACCAGCAGCACAACTCACCGCCACCACCACAAACCACCACAACACCACCACAACAAACGTCGACAAACCACCGCCACCACAACAACCCACCACCACCACCATCATAAACCACCACCACACAGACTCAACCACCATCACCACCACAACTCACCATCACCACCACCACCACAAGAACCCACCACCATTACCACCACCACCACCGCCACAATCGACCACACCACCACCACGACCACAACCAGCACCACTACCAGCAGCACAACCCACCACCACCACCACAAACCACCAACCACCACGCCACCACCACCACCACCACCGCCACCACCACCACCAGAACCACCTCCACACACCACCACCACCACCACCACAAGGCACCACCACCACCACCACCACAAACGACCACCACACCACCACCAAACCACCACCACCACCACAACCCACCACCACCACCACCACAAACCACCACCACACCACCACCAAACCATCACCACCACCACCCACCGCCACAACCACCACCACCACAACAAACATCCAAAAACCACCGCCACCACCTCAACCATCACCACCACCGCTACCACCACCAGCACCACACAATCATCACCACAGCCACCACCACCACCACAACCACCATCACCACCACCAACCCACACCACCACCACCACCGCCACCACCGCCGCCACAACAAACGTCCACAAACCACCGCCACCACCGCAACCCACCACCACCACAAACCACCACCACACCACCACAACCACCACCACCACAATTCACCATCACCACCACCACCACAAAAACCCACCACCACTAACACCACTACCACAATCTACCACACCACCACCACCACCACCGCAACTACCACCATCACTACCAGCAGCACAACACCACCACCACCACAAACCATTTCACCTTCACCACCACCGCCACCACCACCACCGGCACCATCTCCACAAACCACCGCCACAACCACAACCCACCACCACTACCACTCACAAACCACCGCCACACCACCACCAAACCACCACCACCACCACCACAACCCACCACCACCACCACAAACCACCACCACACCACCACAAGACCACCACAACCAGCACCACCCACCGCCAGAACCACCACCACCACAACAAACCACCGCACCACCACCACCACAACCACCACCACCGCGACCACCACCACCACCACCACAACCCACCACCACCACCACCACCGTCGCCCTCGTCGACGCTCCCCACCAACGCCGCCCGCCGCCGCAGGCGCAGGCCGGCGCCAGCCCAGAAATGAAAATCGCCCCCGCCGCCGTCGCCAGCCGCCGCCGACGCGAGCGCCGGCCCGAGGAGATGGGGAGCAGGGGGGGGGGGTTGAACCCCCCCCGCCCCCGTGACGGGAGGGGGGGGGGGGAGAGGGGTTCGAACCCCCGCCCCCCCCCCTCCATCCAGGGAGGGGGAGGTGGGGGTCCGCCCCCCCCCCGCCCCCTCCAACCGACCGCAGAACGCGGTCTTTCTAAAGTCGGGCTCCTTGCCGGCGAGGGTTTGATCGCGCATCGCGTCCCTGATGCCACTCGTTCCCGAACAGGTGGACCACCGCGGCCCCGTTCAAAGGGGCCGTCGACCTCGTCGCAAACGTCGCCCCGAGACAAGGGCGGATTTCTCCGCGAGCCTAGAACCCTAAATCGAACCACCAGTAAGATGGCATCC